GAACACACTCAATAGACCAGGCTGGCCTTGAACTCACAGAGATCCGCCTGCCTCTGTCTCTCGAGTGCTGGGATTAAAGGTGTGTGCCACCACCACCCAGACGCAATAATAGAATTTTTTAAAGGTTATTTTTACAGTTAAGTCATGGTGGCACACACTTGAATCCTAGCATTTGAGAGGCAGAGGCAAGTGGTACTGTATGAATTCAAGACCAGCCTGGTGGACAAAGGGCGCATAAGCTACAGCTACATAGAAAAACCAGGATCTGTCTCAAACAAACAAAATTACTGTGTTTTGTATGTTATGTGCATGTGAGTACCCATGAAGACCAGAACAGGGGGTTCCTTGGGAGCTGGAGTTAGAGGCAGATAGGAGCTGCCTGATGTGGGTGCTGGGAATGGAACTCTGCCAGTGTTAAGATGCCTTAACTTCTAAGCCATCTCTGCAGCACCAGTAGAATTAAAAAATATGTTTATTTACATTCTGTAATCACGTATATTTTGTTCTTGCTTTTAGTGGGATGAAGCCCTCCTGACTATGAGTAAAGGAGAAAAGGCTCGACTGGAGATTGAACCAGAATGGGCCTATGGAAAGAAAGGACAGCCTGACGCCAAGTATCCTTTTTCCTTTATAATTTAAATGCACTCACGCCAAAACAAAATTCCCACAGATTTAAGATGGGGCCAGTGACTGAGGATTCAAATCTTAGAAATAGAACGTAAACAATGGTTACCACATGTAAAATGACAGAGACCACAGGACAAATAATGTTAGTAAGCATTTATTAATAATTACAGTACTTCTATGACAAACTGGTTTGTCAACATTTACAAAAAGCAGAAAGGCAATGATTGTAGACCATTTAAGACTTTAATCCAATAGTTAAGTGGGAAGTAATTTTTAGGTGCTGATTCCATTCTTGTTGGCAAAACTAGTTTTGATATTAAAGGTTAAAGTTGGAAGTTAAAGTTGAGGTTAAAGTTGGAAGTCATCTCTGTAGTCTTAAAAAAGTTAAATTCATTTCAGATTGCCTGCAGCTTCATCTCATGTGAAAGCATAAGATAGTGGCTAATTCAGTAGCATTAGTGAGGCATTCAGGTAAGAATAATACTGTTGAAACTCAACTTTTGTGATTGCTTTCTTTTGATCACTAAGGATACTTTTAGGAAACTCAAGCCAGCCTCTGAGTCAAAGAAAAATCTCTTCTTAAATTTATTGGGACACTCTCTCTGGGCTACCCTGTAAGTATTTCTGTCTCCAGCACACAAATGTTGAGGCTTAGGGGTGTGCTGCCACACCAACACGCTTTCTTTTGAGCTTAAATTACTAATAGCCAGATTTCACAATTCTAGTATTATGCTATAGTTAGTGGTTGGGGGAGAGGCACTTTTCATCAGTTTTACCTTGACCATTTCCCACAGAATTCCACCAAATGCCAAACTCATTTTTGAAGTAGAATTAGTAGATATTGACTGAAACCAGTGCTTCAGAAGACATCAACAATAAAAACTTGGCCTTGAAACTTAATGTGACTAAATAGAGCTTGTTACTATTTTAAGGGAAGAGTCAACTGGAAAATTCAAGGAGTTAAAGCTTGTTTACTTGATCTCAATTTTTGAGAAATGTAACCCCCTGGAAGTCCCTTTAAGTCTCAGATATTTTACTATAGCTGTGTAAAATATTAAAGAGAACTGCTTTTCCTTTTACCTCATATTGTAAACTAAAAGGCTCAATAAAAATGTCATGGACTGTCTTGATTAGACTTTGTGTTGCTGTATTAATGTTCGGATTAGGTTAAGCAGGACTTGGGAGTCCATCCAAATAATCAAGGTGGCTATCTTTGTCCAGGACATTTTAAAAATATTATTCCATGGTGAAAGGTCAAAGGCATAGAACTTGAAGCAGAAAATCAAAGTAAATACAACATTCTGGTAGGAAGATAATAAATGTAGAAAAAGCTTACTTCAAAGCAATGTTAATCTGTATTTGGTGTGTACCTCCCACAAATGAATTCATAAACAATTGCTGCATGAGTCTTCACTTTTATTACAAAAATGACGATAAGTTTGATCAAAATGAAAGCTTGCTCGCAAGTTTTACATGAATATGCTCGATACAGAGTCTCCCAAAACATACTCTGGTATTTCATTTCTTAAGGGGATGCTGACTTTCTCATTACACTTTCTCATTTATAATCTATTCCAAGGCAGAGCATGTTAATAGTTCATCTTTCTTGCAATTAGAGCCAAATTTCCAAGTATAACTGAAACACAGAGACAACCTTAGCATTTGAGGTTAAAAATCTTTCTTTTAAATCTGTTTTTAAGGAGATAAAATTCTCAATAACCAGCCCTTATTTTTTTTCCCAGAATCTTGTAACTGACATGATTTGCAGTCAGTCTTTTTCCCTACACTTAAGGCTACAAATCTCTTGCGTGAGCTGCAAAAGAATTCTAGACCACTTAAGTAAATAAAATAAAAATTAAAAAAAATAGTTCTCCAATAAAAAGTAAATTTTAAAAATGGTAGGAAAGTTTCTATGGTACACTACTAATTGACATTTTCTACTATTACCTAAACAAATGTTACACAGAAACTGGGAAGACAAATTATCAAATACAACAAGTTTATGCTATGTTTACATCCTTCAAAAAAAATAATTCCACATTTCTCATATAACCAATCTGAAATTTACATTTTTTCCATCAGGTTGGAGGTGGAGGATAATACTGTCCATAATTCCAAGGATTCTGATAATTATACTGAAAAGGTAAAAGTAAATATGTCAGCATACTAGAATTACAGCTATGTTCCACATATAAAATTAAGCTGTTGAAATTCCACCACTAAATCACAAAAGGAAATATACAATATAGACCTACAACAAAGAATAAATTATGTAGACTTACCTGATACCAGGCACTGTAATTATATGCAGCTTGATTTGCCTGTAAATCCCCATCAATGATTTGTGCTGATGACATATCTTCTGTGTGTGCTTTCTTTTCTTCTGGTTCTTCTGAACTATATAAAAAGCCAAAATAGAAACTTAAAATTCCCAGAGATAGGACCTTTCCTAGACAACTATACTGTGTACATTTGTCTTAGTTAATGCTTTCAACCATCTTCTGAGAGCAAGATACTATTCAGAAGGTAACCAGTCAGGGGGGAAAAAAAGCCTAGCTAGACAAGCTGTGGTAAACTGACTGAAGGCTAAGCCCAGTTTACCATTCGTTATGGAGCAATCTCTGAAACTTCTCCATCCTCAGAACTATCTAGATTAGCTGCCAAGAGCATAGATGGTACTGATCCCTGTCCTCAAAGGGTCAACAGTAGTCTGCCACTCCAAGTAATAGATTTCAGATTTTTCAACAAGGTAAAACCCCTTTCCAATCTGGCCTTTGACTTTTTAGCCTTCTTACTCTTGACAAATCTACAACTCTCCATTTCTACAGGGTGACCTCATGCTGAGAAATCACATGCTTAGTTCTTTCTTTATGCCAGAGGTGGCAAACTAGCCTAGAGTCTGGATGTGACCTGTGTTTCATTTGTCCTTGATGTTTAAAAAAGACTTGTAAATTGGGCATGGTGGCAAATGCCTTTAATCCTGACTAAGTAAAAACTAGAGATTGTCTACACAACATTCACGTTTCTGCATAACCTGTTACAGCTAAGCAGTTATGCTGTAGATGAACAAACTCTGCAGCACAAACTTATCTCCAATTCCTTATAGAAACACAACCCCACTGTGCTTGCCACCAGATTGCCCTAACTGTCACCCTAACTATACGGATTTCCTTAACTACAACCCTCAACTTAGGGCCAGTGGCCCAACTCTAGTCATCTTAATGGTTTTCCAACTCTCAGTCTCATCTCCAGGTTCAATGGAATCCTCATTTTGGGCCTTGGAGAGTGGTAGGCTGAAGGCAGTCTTCATACTTGCTTCTAAGCTCAACCATTCAAGTTCTATGCCTTTGACTTTTCACCATGGAATAAAAGTACATGTTTTAAAGGGAATTTTCATATTGAAATGTTTTAAGCATCCCTTCCTGATTTACCAGGAAATTACATACCCATTTTCAGCTTTCCTTTTTAAGGAATCCTGTTCCTTTAGGAGTGTTTGATGTTCATCATATGCATTCAGAAGCCTGAAGAGGAAGAAAAACAAAATCCTTTGGGATGTATAAAACATTTTTTAGAAAGATTTAAGTATTTCTACATAAGAAAACAACTTATATAAATTTGTAACTGGGCTGTTTGTCTTGTCTTTTTTTTTTTTTTTTTTTTTTGGTTTTTCGAGACAGGGTTTCTCTTGTGTAGCTTTGCGCCTTTCCTGGAACTCACTTGGTAGCCCAGGCTGACCTCAAACTCACAGAGATCCGCCTGCCTCTGCCTCCCGAGTGCTGGGATTAAAGGCGTGTGCCACCACCGCCCGGCTGTCTTGTCTTTTAAGACTTAAATCTTAGTTCTGATATCCAGATGCTCCATACCTACATGTTTAACAGCATACATAGTACCTTTCACTGAACCAGTAGTTTGTTTGGATATTACTACCAAATCAAAATGAAAGCTCATTTCATTTTGTAGGTGCCAATCCTAAGAATTTGCTGTTTACTGCTGATAGGACAACCTCTGAACTGCATCAAGATCCTAGTTCTGGCCAGGTGTGGTACGCATGCTATTAACCCTAACACTCAGAAGGCAGATAGATCTCTGAATTCAAGGCCAGGTAGGGCTCTCTCCGATTTAAAAACAAAACAACCCTACTTGGTTCTGGAGAGGTAGGTTCAATGGGTCAGTGCAGTGGTTCTCAACCTTTCCAGTGCTTCAACCCTTTAATACAGTTCCTCATGTTGTGGTGACCCCAACAATCAAATTATTTTCATTGCTAAATTAATTTTGCTACTGTTATGAATCGTAAAGATCTGATACGCCGAATATTTGATATGTGACCCTGAAAAGGGGTTGAGAACCACTGGGTCAGTGGGTAAAGTACTTAACTACCATGTACCAGGCCTTGGATTCAATACTGAGAGTACGTCACATACTATTCCACTCATGCACATTACTGTTAACGTATTCTGTTACCATCGCTGTGTTTCTCTTCTTCATCAGAATCCAATAGGAACTAAATGAAACTACCTCTTCTAGGAAGCATGACAAATCTATTTTTATCCATACAGATCAAGCATATGTCATTCCATATACTTTTGTAGAACACGAGAATCATACTATCCTAATGAAAAGCTAGCATTACATAAAGTAAGTTTTTCTGTATACCTTCTTCAGTGTAAAACACTGACTAGAGTATTCAAGGTAGTTAAGAGCAGAAACTATGAAATAGGGTCTAATTTCATCCTCCTAATACATGACTTGAAAAACTTGGGTATCTGAGTGAGCCTCTCTCTACTGACTAAAACAACAGTACCTGTATCCATTTCAATGGCTGATTGTTATACTATATAAATACAAAATATTTAGCATGATTTCAAGAACTGAAATACTAGCTGTGTCAAGCTGTAAACTTACCATCAAAAACATGCACACATATGTAGACACTCAAGTTTAGAGTGGTTTCAGTGGGAATCATTGTAAATCATATCAGCAAAGGCACATACATGCCTATTAGGCACTGGGATATTTACTTACTAGCAAGAGAGAAAGACTGGAACTTTACCAATGTTCTAAGCAGTATTTCTACTTTCCAGGTTACCAGATTTAAATCTAAAGTTTAGATCTTATCCTCCCCTTCCCCCAAATCTACAGCAAAACCTTACATCGCCCTCAACTTGTAGCCTTTTATGATTCAGGAGGATGAGTCCAGTGAGCAAGATCTGTGTGACCACATCTACCTTCTGGCATTCCTTTTCCAGACGAATCCTATCTTAGCCCTGTGCATGTTGCTGAGGACTGAATTCAGTGCCTTATACATGACACATACTCCACCACTGAGCTTTACATCAACTACAGCCACCCCACCACTCATGTGTCTCATAGTTCAGTTTCTATCTCATGTCTCTTTTTGCGGGGCCCACCTGGTGGAAGGAGAGAACTGAGGGCTACAAACTGTCTTCTAACCAGAGCATATGCATACACAAATAACACTGATTTAAAAGAGGAAAAGGGTTTTGAAGAGATGATAAAGCTTAAGTCCTATTAAGCTTACACACATTTACAAAACTGAATTTACCTCCACTTGTCTCTGAAGGAAAAGTAGCCTTAACAAACACTTTTAAATTTAGCATTATATCCAACAAGGTAGTTCAGCACCTAACTTAACCCAAACCTGGTGACCTGAGTCTAATCCCTAGCACCCAGGAAAAAGTAAGAGAAAACCCAATGAAGTTGTCTTCTGACCTCCCCACATACAGTTTGGAACACATGCACTCTCTCCCATACATATACATCATATATATAATAAGAAAAATATCTTAAAATAAATTTAGCAATGTATTAATGTAACCATCAAATAAACTATCATCACAAATTAACAATGCTTATATTCCATTAAAAAATGATGAATTTAAGATCTTACTTATTAACATCTGAACCAAAATCTTCAAGGAATTCCACTTTTCTCTGAGAAAATGTAATTCTCATTTTAATAGGCAATGAACCATGAATGGCCTTGTCAAAGCAATTGAGGATACTTTCTTCATTTTGTTTGAGATCACAACTGTATTCCATTTCAAGTAAATTGAGGTATAACTTTGTGTTCTCCTGAGTAAAAAGCAGTACGAATTAATAACATTCCTACAATATTTTAATTAAAGTATAAATGTTTAAGATTAAAATATAACTCATGTCAATGTTTTCAGCATGTATATAATGAAGTGAAACATATTCTTCAGGACATATTTTTTCCCTGTCCTGTTGCACAGCAGACAAGTACTCTGTCACTGGGTCACAATCCCTGTGCTTCTTTAGCAACACTGCTGGGCTGTGACACTACTCTATTATTCCTGCACTGTGCAGTATGTTGTTACATGCTAACCAATTAAAGCTCAATATCCTATGTTAGTTAGCTGGACTTTGCCTAGCATGGAAATTAAAATACAAAAAGATAATCTGTATATTACACCTCTACTTGGGACTATAAATACTTTAATTACAAACTTGTATCTTCAACAGGCCCAATACAGCTTAAAATCTACAAAATGAAACACTTCCAATATACTAGCTTTTAGTAACTCTTATATAATAGGAACTTTTTTTGGGTTTTTTTCTTTTTGTGTGTGTGGTTTTTCTAGACAGGGTTTCTCTGTGTAACAGCTCTGGCTGTGCAATGTAACTTGCTTTGTAGACCAGGCTGGCCTCGAATTCATAAAGATCATCTGCCTCTGCCTCCTGCATGCTACGATTAAAGATGTGCACCACCACCACCTGGTAAAAAATAACTTCTGCAAAAGAAAATCACTATACTACTTTGTTTGATACTGTTATACTTTTGTTCCTAAAGGCTTCTCCCAGGTTCTTTATTATATTTAACAATCATTAAGTTTCTAAAATTTCTAAAAGTTAATTACAAAGGCCACAATATTTACAATTTTAACTCAGTAATCATAATTTTCTCAAACTTTAAATTCAAAGTAATTAGGAAAAAATGTTAAAAATGGCAATATCAGTTTAGAGGGACTGTTGTCCTCATTTAGTAATAAAATATATTACTGTATAGACCAAGTCTTTCATCATGGTTGCCAAAGTGAAGAAGTACTGGCTTTTTATGGCAGATGTTTAAAACATGCGTACCTTATCTCTTTCGATTGCTTCCAAAAGTACCTTTCTTGATTTTGGAAGATTTTTTTGTATTTTGAAAAGATGCCGGGCTAGTTTAATAGCATAAAATGATGACTCGTTATTTGACTTGGCATTCTTTATAGCATCTTGAAGCAAATGTTCAGCTTCGTCCATATTTCCATGCCGTCGTTCTAAACTTACTCTTCTCAATCGAACCATTGCCAGTCCTAGAACACATTCTTCAAACGTTCTCAAGATAGTCCTGGCTTCGTTAATGTTCCCTAAAACAGTAATTCAATGTTTATACTTTTGTCTAAATTTCCAAAATACACTCTACATCACTTTTGTTTAAATTTCCGAAACAGACTTGATATCAAGAACTGAAAAACATTAGCCCACAGACTAAATCTAGCTCTCTATTTAGGGGGTTTCGGGGTTGTTAAGTAGCCATGCTTATTTTGTACTGTCTATGGCTGATCTTAGATATGATATGGCAAGGTTGAATTGTTAAAGAAACAACATAGCTTTTATAGAAGTAATTAATCAAATTCTTCTTTATACATCCCTCAGTGGATTAATTCCATACTGACAAAGTGCTAAAGTATCATTGAGGAGCTGGAGATAAGATTCAGCATTTAGGAGCACCAGGCTCACTTCTCAGCACCCACAACCATCTGTTAAGCACAGTCCCAGAGGAATCCATGCCCTCTTCTGGTCTTTGTAAACACTTAAGCACAGATATGCATACAGGTAAAACAACCACTCATTCACATAAAATAAATTAAAATAAATCAACTGAACATTTTCCTTCTTACCCTGCTGTTCCTCAAAAGCTGCCCAAAGCATATGTGCCATGGGTTTCTTTGGAAGATGAACAGTACAAGCTCTGCTGAAGACATGCCTTACTCCTTCAATGCTATGGTTTTCCATGTACTTGGCATACTACATACAGAAAAGAGGAAATACTGGAATAATTTACAGTTGAACACGTGATTAAATATGTGACAGAACGATAAAATTCTATTTGTAAACCCATTCAGCACCTTTATTGAACCACTAGACTAGTTTCTGTAAGGAAGGACGAAGAGAGGCAACGAGGTTGGCATATGCAGCAGTCAAATCTGGTTGCAAGCAGACCATCTCCTAATGCAACAGATATAGTTATATGAACAACATTCAACAGAAGTACAAAAAAGGTTAGTCACTAGATCAATGTTTATAATATATTCAAGTTAAACACTATGTCATTTTCTTACCTTAATCCAAAACTCCTCATAGAGGGCACAAGATATGACACATCTTTCAAAGAGAACCACAACTCTTTCATGAGTCCCATTTTCAATTTCGAATTCTAAGTATTCTTTCCAGTTTTTTAGTTGGGCCTTTTCCAAAGGTTTCACATGAAAATAAGGTCTTTTAATCTGCAAAAAACAAAAAACCATTGTATGGCAATAAAAGTAAACCAAAGTCAAAATATTAAGTACAATTATATAAATAATTTTAATTACAAAGAATAAAATTTTAAATTCATTACTAATTGTTCAGGGTGGAGGGAGCTTGAGATAGTCTCTGTAGACCAGGCTAACCTCAAACTCCCAGAGATCCGTTTGCCTCTGTCTCCTAAGTGCTGGCATTAAAGGCTTATGACACTACACCTGGCATAAAAGTTTTTTAATTAAAATTATTCAACCTCCATGAGTTTGACAATGGAAAAGAACATATCTTCCATTTATTCAGTCTTTTCAAACAATATGTATTTTATTTTACTTAAATGTATGTGCACCCATATACAATACTTGCATGCAGGTACGGGTGCCCAGAGTCCAGAGTGTGTGGATCCTCTGAACTGCACTGACATTTCTGAGCCCTCCCACAACATGGGAGCTAGGAACCAAACTCGGATCCTCTAAAAGAGCAGCAAGCACACCACTGTATCATCATGTGCCAGTCCTAGTTAGTCATTTTTATAATAGTGAAAATTTGATTCTTTATTACTTATTTTTAAATTGATCCGTTTTAACATAGTTATATATGGATAGAAATGAGAGTAGACAAGGAGACCATTAAAAGAACTACTCTTTATTTTGATTACTAAGGTAAACTATATTGTGCATTTACCAAAACTATTTTACAGCCAGACACAACACAATAGACATGTAACTCCATTCACAGGCTAAGCCATGATAGGGTAATTAACAAAAACAAAGCTATATTAAATTTAAGCCTAGGGCTACGGAAGCTAAACTGCAGGTGAGTTAAGTAGGGTAAGAAGAACTGAAGAGGAAAGGCGAGAAAAATATAATCAAGTTGACTCTGCTGATGGCAGTACATATCCATGAACTAATATACTTCAAATAGGCAAACTGTTTGACATGTGACTTATACCTTACCAAATCAGTAAGAAAATAGTTAAATTTACAAGAAAAAATATTATTCACCTATAATGGATGGATTATGTATTATTTTTGAGATGGTGTTTGATAGAGCACAGGCTGGCATAAAACTTACTGGATAACTGAAGATTACTTTTAATATTTGAACTTTTTATCAATAGCTTCCAAGTGCTGAGTTATAAGATTTGGCACCAAATCTGGTCTAAATGTGGTGCTGGGATCAAACACAGAGATTCATGCTTGTTAGGCAGGTAGTCTACAAACTGAGCTTGATACCCAGCCCTTATAACGGCTGTTTTATCTATAAGGTATAACTCAATAATCAGGAATCTTGCATTTGAAATCTGAATGCAGTTAAGATTTTAAAACTGGTCATGGAAACTGTTAAATACAATTGAGAAGCATACCTTGAGTTATTACTTCTACAAACAGAAAGAAATATTAACAATGGTTACACTGCTATAAGAAGAAATCTTATTTTTAAATTTTGAAGACTTATAAAACAAAACACTTACACCTTCTTCAAATGTCCACCTCTTACTAACTTCATGCTCATTATAATTAAACATTTCTTGATGAATTTCAATGATTCTATGTCTCATGTTTTCTATTTCAGTAATTAGCTTGAAAAAAAAGAAAACAATCTTGTAAGTTACATACTGAAAATTCTCAACATCACACACTTGAAGTATCTTCTACAGACATTTCGTTCTTCAGTAGGGAGTTTTTAATTGTTAGGTGTCATTATTTTATATACAATTGTTTGCTTTGATTTTTGAGACAGGGCCTCTATACATATAACCTTGGCTATCCTAGAACTATATGGAGACAAGATTGTCCTAGAACTAACAGAGATCCACCTGACTCCGCCTCCCAAGTGCCATCATACCCAGCTTTAAGTATGATTTATAAAGAACTTCAAAAATCCAGTTTCTTATGTAATTTTTAACAAGGAGTAGACTACAGTGAAAGTAAAATACTTTTCTACACTAAGTCACTTCTAGTCTCACGGTGAGACTTTCTCCTTTAAATTCATACGTAAATCACACTGACGTCAAGGCCCCGAACTTACTGCCCTTCCACATATGCTACCTAGTTTCTTGTGCACTGAACATAAGATTAAAAAGCTTACCTTTGCTGGGTCAGTTATGTCTTCAATTCCTGATGGAAGGTCATCACCAGGAGGTCCATCATCACCACTGTGTCCATTTACAGAAGCTAATTCCCTTCTCAACTGAATGAACTGTTCACCAGTTAAAAGATCTCTAGGCAAGTTATTCTGTACATGTTCTTTAAATCTGAAGGAAAAATTAAAAACCACATGTCAGGTACCTGCTACATATTATTCCTTCAAGTAAGCAGAGAAACAAATCAGAATATCCTAACATTTTTCTTATTCTGTATTAAAATCCTACCACTTAATATATATGTATATGTATGTATTTAGTTTCCACTCGGTCTTTGCAGTGGAATATAGAGAACAGATACACAAATTCCAACTCTAGTATTCTCTATGATTATTGGATTTTTCTCTTCTCCCAATCTTAATCTATAAAACAACAGATCTACTTTGCAAATTTAAATAATACATAGCTAATTCACATTAAAGTGATCATGAAATGTTTACATTATCATCCTACCTACCAATTACTCCTCCATACATTTCTGTTTAACAACCTAATGACACAGGCTTCCTTAAGGTCACCAGTTACCATACATGCAAGATCAACAGATATTTGTTCTCCAGTACACCCTCTATCTTCAACATTTGAGTCTGCTAACCATGCTTTCTTACTTTTAGAATCTTCTTCACAGCTTGGTTTGTGAGGTACCACTTTCTTGGTTTTCCTCCAAGTCACTTTCTGATTGCTGCTTGATTCTCTCTCTCAGGTCCCAATTATTACCTGCCCTTAAGGTTATGTTCCCAGGAATTCTCTTTTAGTCTTACATTTTTATACACGTTCTGGCTAAAGTCATTAACAGAGCTTGAAGTAATTACTATATCAATAAAACTCAAAACTATAACAAAAGTCCAAAATTTTTAAATTGCAGATTACTATATCCAATTGCCAAAAGTCTACAGAAAAAGAAAATGTATTTTTTTATATAAACATAAACTAGTTTCAAACTAATGTATAAAAACTTAAACTGTCTTTTGAGAAACTGACTCACTAGCTGACACTGGCCTGAAACTCAAAATCTTTACTTCCATCATGGATTATAGGTCATGTACCATCACATCCAGCTAACACATTTTTAAGAAAATGTCATTTCACTATTCTATCTAAACATACTATTTCATACACCCCAAATTTTAACTGGAACCACCAAAAAAGAGCTCAAGTATCTTCCATCTTGATTTTAACATGGAATCTCCTATACTATATTTATTTATTGGGCTGTTTGTTTTTTGAGACAAGGTCTGTCTATAGCCATGGCTGGCTTGGAACTCTATGATCTGCCTATCTCTACCTCTCCAGTACTGAGGCTAAAGGCATGTCTCACCAGGCCTGCCAGGCTGTCTAGAACTCACTATATACCTGAGGTTGGCTAAGAAATGATCTCCCTCTCCCCACCACCAAGTGCTATCTCTCAGTCTTTCCCAGTTAATCATTTACATCCATGGGATAACAGATCCTACTGATTCCATTTTCTAAATACATCTTTTTGACCTAACTTTTCACCTGAATAAAGGTGTCTTCCAACCTCAAGTCATATAATTTCCTTCCTCCAAAGTTAGTAAAAACATTAAAAACAAAACAGTGACATAAGCAGAATGTGGTTATGACATATGCCTTTTAATCCCAGCATTAGGGAGGCAGAGGCAATCCAGTACTAGAAGGCAGATAGTAGGATTCCCCAGGGCTCGCTGGCCAGCTAGCCTAGCCAACAGATGACCTGGAAATCAGTGTGAAACCCTGTCTCGGAAAAGTAAGGTAAAGGGTGATGAAGAAAAACACAGGAGAGCTGGAGAACACTGGCTGCTTGCTCTTCCAAAGGACCCAGGTTAGACTCCCAGCATCCTAACTGTACTTCCAGTTCCATAGGCATCAGGAACCTATGTGGTACATAGACATACATGCAGGCAAAATACACACATAAAATTAATTTCTAAAAGATACAAAAAGGCAGGACTTCAGCCTCTCAACCTCTGACAAGCACATACACATTTTCCCACCAACATGAAAATAATTAAATTAAAAACACTAATATTGATGAGTGTGGTAGTATATATATTTAATCCCAGCCTTAGGAGGCAGAGGCAGGTAGATCTTTGAGTTCAAGTCCAGCCTGGTATAAAGAATGAGTTCCAGGACAGCCAGAGCTACACAAAGAAACCTTGTCTCAAAAAACAAAAAATAAATCTAGCAGGATACTCATTTGAAAAAAGATTTGGAGGACTGAAAAGAGCTCATTAGTTAAAATAGCATGTACCACTGTCACAGAATATCAGAGTTCAGTCCCCAGCACCCATGCTAGTTGGCTCACAACCACCTAATTCCAATTCCAAGAGATCTGATGCCTTCTTCTGCACTCCACAGACAACTGTACTCATGTGCACCCTGCCAAGCCACATTTTTCTCTCTATATATATGTATGAAAGATTTGGAAGAACTGAGAATATAGCTCAGGGATAAATAAAAACTCAGAAAACACAGATTTCTTAAAAAAAAAAAAAAAGGGGGGGGGGCACCGTCTGAAGGGTCTTATCTCATTCCCAGATTTTTCTGTTTCCAGGTAATTGTGAAATAAGCAGCTTTGAAAACCAAGTCCATTCTGCTTCACCTAAGGCACTGAAGTAAACCCAAGTGACCATGGGCACCTTTAAAATTGCTGTTACATGAAAGGCAGAGGAGCTCATGATCCCTATCCCTGAAGAGCTATTCACAGTTAATGGTTTCTGGGGAAGTCAGTTTTCTTTAAGTATGGCTGGCCCCTGGTAGGTTGACCATACTCCAGTGGATGACTTCATATGCCACAAGTGTATGGGCTATATATTAAGAAAGAAAGAAAACAAACCAAAACAAAACCAAGCATTCGGTTGTGTGCACACACATACGCACACAAGACGCACGCACACATGCATGCACTACAGTTGAAAGGGGTAGGAGTGGCCGGGCGGTGGTGGCGCACGCCTTTAATCCCAGCACTCGGGAGGCAGAGCCAGGCGGATCTCTGTGAGTTCGAGGCCAGCCTGGACTACCAA